TTATGGACAAGTTCTAAGGGCATGGGGGACCAATGCAGAAAGTACCAGAAAGTTACAATCTCATCTTCCTCACCCCTCAAGTGGAATAAAATAACTTCTGGCTCAGAATATTTTGGCATCCCAGACACCTGTGTTGGGGGTAGCAACTGCTAATGTGCTTTTGACTCCAGGAAGGAGGGGGTACTATAGCTTCCCCAAAGCAACATGAGAGAGGAAAATCCCACCGCAGACTTCCCCTTCCTGCACAGTGCTAATACAAAGGGAGGTTGCTAAAGCAATGGTTTCTCCCAGCTGACTGACCTAGTCATGCACATGGGCTTCATGCTGAATCAGTATCGGCACTAACAGAAAAAGATAGGAAAAACTCTTTCTTCTACTTAGGTAGCTTTGCTCAGCAAGCACCTCTGGGAGCAGTGGCTCCGAGTTCACTGGGTCCCAACCTCCAACATTTCCTGCAGCTTTTCAGAGCTCTCGGGAGAGCTTCTCCACGGCTCCACTGGAACCATTCATGCAAATTGCCCTTTTAAGAACTATAAAGGAATACAGTATTTAGCATCAACCCACTCAGCCCCCACCAAAATATCTTAAGGCTGAGTTAAGTGGCTTGAATGATGCTGTGCTGTTGCTGTGGCAGCACACGGCTCTCCACAGGGTGCCTGGGGTCAGGAGCAGTCAGAGGGCTTCTCACCACAGCACCTCAGAGCAGCTATACCTGCAGGGCACCTGCATGTCCTCCTGGGGTGGCAAAATACAGCCCTTCTCCCTGCCTTGCTGTCCAGTAAAGAGAAGCTGAAAATGCTTCTCTCTGCCAAAAACCTGGCTGTGCAATCTGAGTCACCTTGGAGCACCAGGAAAAGCTGGTGCATGTCAGCAGTACATCTGATAGCTTTGGGTTTTTGAGGGCAGAAGAGGGGAGATGGAGGGAAGAGACCACTCCATGGCAAGGGAAGCCCAGTTGTGGGCAACCTAACTTAGCAGCCAGGTAGAAATATGCAGGTATGGTGAGATGACCGACAGGCCAGTGTTCCCAGCTGGCTTTTGCATGTATTTCTATCAGCATATCAGCCAGCCAACCTCAGAGTTCAAAGCTGTTGCCCCGTGGCAGAGAACAGTGCATCCTGAACAGTCCAGGAAAGGACACAGAGCTCATGGGTGAGATATGCAGGTAAAGGGCTGGATACCAGTGAGGAGGAGTATATTTATCTGACTATTTAATTCAAGGTTTATTTGTTCCCTGTGTTGATACCAATGCAGATTCAGTCCAGCTCAGAAGCTGTCACGTAGGGAGAAAGGAAATAACACAATCTGGCTCCCCTCTTTGGCATCTGAACAACACTGTTCCTCAGCAGCACTGGGGAGGCCAGCAGCATGTAAATGCTTTCCTGCATGGTGACACAGACAGAACTTTCTGGTACTAGAGTAACCCCCTTCCTCCCTTTGAGTAGTCACAGCTGCACGTACCTTTGGAGTAACATCATAGTTATGCAATGCTGACTCTCCCACTCTTACTGTGCCCCTCTTGTATTTGCGCAAGCAGAAGCTGGGATGGAGCCTGACGATGCCCTCCAAGAGCCCAGCCATTTCTCAGCCCTCCTTTTCTGAGCCTGCACTGCTCCCACTGGCACCAGAGGGGAGCTGGGAGCACCAAACACCACTGAATTGCAGCCCAGCAGGGCACAGTTTTCTCCAGAAGGAGCCTGCTAAGGCATGAACACATGGGTTGCTCAGGGCTGCCCAGTCCACTCATCCACCTAAATGATGCAGACTCTGCTGCAATGAGGGCTAGCATTTACAAGTAGTTCTAGGCTTGCTGCATCTCTGGACACCCCATGACTTCCATGGGGTCACCATGACTTCTAGGTCACCATGACTTCCGCAATCATCCATTTCACCAGGACTAATGGAGCACAGATGTACTCTCGAGGGAGTGAGTGTGAACCAGAACCCTTATCTCTGGAATGCTTCCCAGGAAAAACCATCTCCTCACCATCACGTATCCCAAACTACCTAAGGAGAAGACAAAGCAGGACATTAAGCAGAAGAGTGAGTTCCTACCATTTTTGCTACTTTATTCCTTTACGGTTCTCAAGCAGGATTTATAATCACATCTTCAGAGGAAAAACAGTGTTGTGCTAACAGGTGGGTAAGAAACAACCTTGATGAGATACAGATCTGTAATGCTTTAGTTAAAGCACAGGTAAACAACGAACAGCAGCAGACCTCTCAAGTGTTACACAAGCCTCATCTTAGTCATCACTGTTGGCCTTGTAGGTTGCAGGTGTCTGAGACTGCTCTCCACACTAGCTTGGAGGGCACGGAGCGCAACAGGACAAGGTGAACCTGGCCATTGGGCAGAGCTGTGTTGCTTGTCCACAGCAACCAAGTGACCCACGTGCATGGCAGCAATCAAAATGTGCAGCCTGCTAAGGTGCGCCTGAATTATGTCAGGGCAGGAAGAAGAGATGTTTCATTGAAGAGTGAAGACTAAAACGTATTAAAAAGAGAAATGAGTCTCTGGAAGTGTGGCCCAGGCATACTCCCCAGTGTAGATCTATGCTCTAGATTCCCCAGGGCAGGAAAGACCCATATTTCTGATTTACCACTGTTGGCAGGGAATGCAGTCAGAATGTAAACCACGGGTGATCATAAATGGAATGAAACAGTGAGAGGTTTTGGCAGCACAGCACCATACATGCCGGACAGTGTGGGATCCTCCCCGTGACCCTGACAACAAAGCAACAGCAGGAAGCGATGTGGTGCTGCTGGCCATGGCTGTGACTGGCAACAGAAACACAGAAGCCTTTTTAATATTGCAGAGAAAGAAATGAAATCCTTCTCTTACACAATGCTTGCCCTAACTCAGCAGGGATCAAATCAATATGGGACCATGGAAAGTCAATGGTTTATTTCAGGGGGTTTTGAATTAGGCTTTATAGGCAAAAGGGCATCAGCCTTCTTTCAAACTCCATAAAGATATACAAGTATTTTCATTCCATGTGTATTTGTAGGACAGAAATGGGACTTTGTTCCTCTTGAATCTCGTTTAGATGTTTCACTAGTTTAAAATAAGGTCTGTCAGGAAAAAAGAATCAAGTCTAGGGCTGGAATTATCCCTGGTGAAGCCTCGGGATCCCATTTGTTAGTGAATGAGAATCACCTTGAAAGAACTTAAGAACAACCTTGTAGCTTTAATGTCTTATTTCCCTATTCTTTCTTCTGGTTTATGTTAGTAACTTAGCCCTACTTCTATGGTGGTGGTTTAAGCATACAGAAACCCCACTGGAGTTGTGCTGTCATCTTAAGAAGGACATGGAGCTGTTGGAGCAAGTCCAGAGGAGGGCCACGAGGATGATCAGGGGGCTGGAGCACCTCCCATATGAAGACCAGCTGAGGAAGTTGGGGCTCTTCAGCCTGGAGAAGAGAAGGCTGCGTGGAGACCTCATAGCAGCCTTCCAGTATCTGAAGGGGGCCTATGAGGATGCTGGGGAGGGACTCTTATCAGGGACTGCAGTGGTAGGACAAGGGGTAATGGGTTCAAACTTAAACAGAGCAGATTTAGGTTGGATATAAGGAAGAAGTTCTTTACTGTGAGGGTGGTGAGGCACTGGAATGGGTTGCCCAGAGAAGCTGTGGCTGCCCCATCCCTGGCAGTGCTCAAGGCCAGGCTGGACAGGGCCTTGAGCAATCTGGTCTAGTGGAAGATGTCCCTGCCCATGGCAGGGGGGTTGGAACTAGATGGTCTTAAGGTCCTTTCCAATCCTATTCTATGATTCTAAACACATACATATGCATACATATGCAAGTATGCCATTGTAACGCAGCTCCCAAACCTCATACACAGTGTGAGCAGTTTACTGCCTGCCTTTCTGGAGGACATCAGCAGCAGCAGAAAGAGAATTTTCACGTAATTTCTGGAGAAATGCTACAGTTGTAGGCCAACTTACATAACTGGTTTAGTTCAACAGAATTGCTTTCTGCCTTTAATCTGCTCAACAGTTTATCTTTGCTGTCGTGATCGGTTGAGCTTTCTTTAAACCATTATGGATTAGCATTCTGCTATAACACGTTAAAAGCTTAGCTTCGTTTATTTTTGTCCAGAATGGGGGAGAGATGTCAGGTTCAAATGTTCAGGCAGCAGTTTGTGAATGGTTACTTTTCTTACACAGCAATCAATATATTAAGGTACTGAATGCAATACACAGGCAAACACTTCAAGAGACAGTAGTAGTGGCTGGAATAAAAATATGTGTGAATTTACTATTAAAAACAGAAAAAAGGAACACCATATATTTGCATAATTATTTTAATCTATAAATACAAGATTTAATCCAGCATTCAAATAGTTCATCACACCCACCAGCTTTATATGAAGACCAAAGAATAAATGGTCTGAAAACTTAATTAATAAAGCTGGTTGAGGATTTTACTAAGTTTCCATTATTGATGCAATTTTGAGACAGAAATCCTGCCAAAAGCAATCTTTCTGACATTCAACTGCAGGAAAATAGTATACCATAATGCACATAAACCATTGAACAAACAGAACCTCAGCCACACCACTTACAAAGAGGTGTTCAGAGATATTAATTGCTGTTCAGTCAATTTTCACAGTAGATTCACCAACTGTGAAAGTGGATGATCTATTGGAAGATGCAGGTCCAAATTTCTACTATAAATTAATAAGCACAACATACCAGTCTGAACCAAATACAACAATTTGCACACTTCTTTGACCTCTGTGAAATTGAAATGATTTGCAGATGCCAGCCTGGAATGGAGCAAGAGGTTATGTTCCTGAGTGGTGCCAATAATCCTCTGTGCAGCTGAACACTATTCCAAGGAAACACTAATTCTGTGATAAGTCATGCTGGCAACTTCCGTATCTAACATGAAGCAAGTAGGCACTTTTGCGTTCCTAAGAGCAACACAGACACTAGTGAAGTTAAAAAAAGGTGTCTAGTGGTGCTAGGAAAAGATAAAAACATAAACCTGGGAAATTAATTCAGAAAAAAGGAGGATAAAAATCCAACTTAATTGTAATTCGTGTGCTGTTTGTTTTGCTCTCTTATCGGGAGGGATCTTTATTCTGCACATTCCAGTGAAAGGCCGTTCACTATTAATTAATCTTCTTTCTGACGGCAAGTGGAGCACCATTCCAGAGTTCCAACATTCCCTTGATGCTGCTCTGCTTAATGCTTGTGTGCTATTTAAACAAAGCATATTCCAACCAAATCTGACTATATATGGAATTCCCTGACAAGTAAAAATTTGGACGCTCGACAAAAAAGAACCATGAAAACAGAATACACACACAAACACACAAACCACTCCAAACTGCACAGACTCAGCATGTACTAGAACAGGCTCTTGGTGGCAAAGGTCAGGTACCCAGTGTGACCAACCATCTCCCTGAGTGGCACACCACTTTTGAACTGCACAGCTCCTTGCTGCAGATTAGCACATGGGCTACCTTGGTTTGATGGGTTGCTGCTGTCAAAGCCAGTGCTAGAATTATCCTCAGCTGTTTTTCCAAGGTCAGGGATTTGCAAGCTAATTGTCCTCACATTGTACACTCGGAGCAGAATTTCCAAGGTGTTAAGCTCTGTAAAACCATGTTCTTCCATCACTAGGCAGGTTCTTTGGACTTGTTCGATGCAGGGGGAGAAAGAGCAGATGCGGCCACCTGCAAAATGAGACAGGCAGTGGAGAACAGGGCAAAACCCAAAACACAGCACTTTTAATCATTTTTCAAATTCTTCCAGATGCCCATAGAATTACTGTTATACAGACAAAGTGAAAACATTCTTCAAGAAAATCTCTGTGAGGCAACTATGCAGGTTTAAGTGTCAGCATGAAATCAAACACAGATGACACTACAAGATGCTTCAGACCCTTTAAAAACTAACAGCAAATTCATTCCTCTTCCAAATCCTGCATTGCCCATTGCAATTGTTCATGATAAACCGTTAAAGTTGATCCCTTTAGAGCAGAGACTCTTTTGGAATCATTCTCCACTATTCTGGACCGAGGGACTGAACTGAAGTTGGCACCTACACAAAGCCAGAAGTCATTCTCACACACTGTACTGAGTTGCCTTCATTAGAATATCAGCGCGTGTGCACACGCAGTCTGACAAAAGCGGCTGTGTTTATTTGAGAACGATGGTATGCGTGTGCAGAATAAAGTAATCTCTCCAGGCCATAGATGGAGTGCTGTTAAGGCTTTACCCTTTTAGTCAAACTGACTAGCATGTCTCCTGAGCATTAAAATTCGCTGGATATCACATCAGGACGGTTTACAGCAAATGCCTCAAAACTCTAGGATAGAACTTTCAAGTGATAATTTGACACTTGTCTCCTTATCTGAGCACAGTTCAGGTTTTTGATTCTAAATACAGAGCACTAGTAGGCCCCCTACAACTTTCTGAGTGCTACAATGTCACCTTAACAGCTGAGAATAGAATGATTCAGATTTACTCTGAAAAGCCACAGCCAAATCAGATCAAAGAATTATAAGGACACTGCCTGCCACAAAGCCAAGGCATGTGCTTTCACCCAGGACACAGTGTCCCACAAGGCCCTTCCTGAAAAGCTTTTGTGCTGGGGGAAGGAACACTGGGCAATGCAGCTCCAGCTATTGTTTTACTTACTACAATTAGATGAAAATGCTTGCTGACCTGATTTGCATTCCTTCCCAGCCCTCTCCCAGGCTCATCCACTCAAGCCTTCCAGCACCAGTTGTCGAAGTAGTTAAAGAACCCATACAAGTGAGAGCAAAGCATTCTGCTATAAATAGAGGCTATGCTGGGACTACATGAAGCCTGCTTTATCTCAAACTCCCCCTTTTTTTTTTCCTTTTTCGTTTCTAAAGTCCCATCTCTAAAAAAAGCAAGCGTCAGGTCTGAAAGCATCAGTGTAGCACTCCAGTTACTGTGCAGCAATGATGTGCTCGGTACTGACTGCGAAGAACACTCTCCATGACCATTAATCCACCATGCATTAAGTAGGATTTAATTTTAGAGCTGAAATAAAGTCTCCACAGCCAGGGGATTCTTATCATGCATCTTCAGAACAAAGTACCCTGGACAAGTAATTCCCTGGAGTGAGAATTAAAACCCAAATCTAATAATCACCTACAAAATTAATGCTGGTATGTGTCATTATTAACCAACTCTGTTGGTGCTGATTTAATTGCACACCCAGTCCACTAGCTCCCATGAAATTAGATTTCTGTGTTCATCAGGATTTCCAGGGCTACCAAAATGACGCTGAAGTGGACAGCTAATCTTTTCTGGCCAAAGCAGTAGACACTCCTACCATGTTTGTAGATGTAAAAGACAAAAGCTCAGGAAGAAATTTCTGTCATATAATTAGAAAGCTACTACGAGGCACATATGTTATAAAGAAAGATGTTATATGCTTATTGTGTAGGAAACTTAGCTAAATGCCAGTTCACAATAACTCTTTGTCTGCAAAGCAAGAATTTGCAGAGACCAGAGACTTACTACAGTTTCATTCAGGCTTTTTGGTTTTGGTGGTTTATATTGCAATAAAAAGGGGAAATATAATCACATTTACATTAAGTCTGTTCTTATTTGTTCTGACTATAAGGATTTCAAGATACGTTTAGGCTTTCGAATTCACATGCTCTGGATTTACAGTCAAAACCTAAGAAGCCTGCACACAGCTGTTGCCATACAAGCGGCAGAGCCACCTACGGATGTCGTCAAGCCTTCAGTTAAAGGCAGAGCACCCTTCATTTAGCCTCGGGATGGTCAGCTGAGCACAGCGTGTCAACACCAAACTTGGTGATGATTTATCAGAGTGTCCCCTTGCAAAGCGGACTGCTTGGGGAAGTACGGTACAGAAAACAGGCATTCAAACTGCCCGGTAGAGAAGAAAGCTCTTGCTTGCAATAGCTAATATCCAGAGGGGAAGCACAAAAAATAATGTTACTTTACTTATCGCGCTGCTGGAAGCTTCTCAGGTATGAAGAGTGAGAAACCAGCGTAACAGCTGGTGTTCTATATAACTGAGAGCATGCAGTGGGTTTTAGTAGTTCTGCCAATTTCAGTTTTTCCCTTTCATACCTATTGTTCTCGTTGTTATTATTATACATCCCTCCCAAAGAAATAGACCTACAAACAGCTTTATGGATCCTAACAAATGGGTGAGAAGTCTTCTCTGCTTTTTCCTGTACACACCATCAGGCAGCCTGGATTTGACTCGAAGGCCGGACTTGTTTGATTAAGCAGATATTAAGAGAATATTGGAAAGCTACAATTAGCAGAAGGTTGGAAGGCAAAAATGAAATTACAGTTCCAGACTGCGGGAGGCTGTCTAAAATAGAAAGATTTGGGAAGCTTCAATTGCCATGGTATGTTTAGACCAGCAAAAAAGCCTGGGGACTGTGAGCAGTAGAAAACCAGCACTCAGAAGGACATGCTCATCTGTCCCAGGAGCAGAGATGCTGTCATCTCCAACAGACCAGATGCTTCTGAATTCTCTACACTGTGGGCTGCCCTCTGTACCCCTGCCACATTTCCAGCTAGGCAAGACCCTTTCTGGCACAATCATCAAGCAGATAGAAATCTAGATTTCAGCATTCACAATTCTCAGATTCTCTAAGAGCTGCCTTGTCCTTTAGACATCGAGAGGCATTCAGAGCTTAAAGGACTTGAATATGCATTGCTTTGTCTTGCCATGCCAAGGATTCCTCAGTGAATGAAGAAAAGACATGTACTCCCTCCCTCTCCACTTGCTGGGGCACACTGCTCTGTCTGTGGATCACAAAGGGGTGGAGGAGACAAGAGAGCAGTGAAAACAACTGAACGGAAACTTCTTAGTACAAACTGAGTTTGTGTTCTTTCAGAGCTCTCCTTTTAGGAAAGCTACCGTTCCTGATTTTGGTTAATGAGATCTGTGTGTCATCATAAATTGATACAGTAATTATCTGAGATTAATCCTGTTCACATTGGAAAGCTGTGTGAGCTTTTTGATCTGAAGAGCTGTCTAAAACTGTGTTTATTCATGTATAATGCACCTGACAAGTGTTACAGTTGAGGAGAAAAGAATAATGAGACTGTATGAAAGACTTAAAATTCTCTCTACCTCCAACTTCACAGGGAGTGAATTAGTTTGAAACATTTAATGGAGAGGTTAAACCTCCCAAACACGTAGGCTGGAACAAGCCCACACAGTCCTGGCAGTCATTATAACCAGCAATAGGGTCAAGAGGATATGAAAATTGAAATACAATTTTATTAGAATTGTATTTATTGGAATTCTTAGAAAAGAGTGTGTAAGGGAAGGGAGAAATAAAAGAGAAGATCTGCATCCACAAAGCTCTGTACATTTTAACAGACAGTATCTGATTAGTAATCAAGGGACACATCCTTGCATCTTTACAAGAGGTCAGTGCCTCTACAGTTGCTCCTCCTTCAAGAGCAGTTCCTGGTATGTTCCTGTGCAACTCCAGCAAACAATTTTGTTTCTGGTTTGTCTGAGCAAGGACTAACACCTCTACCAGTTCTATTGAGCTGATGACTACATTAGGTTTCAAGCATGGAATATCTGGCAGTACTACCCAATTGACATGAACTCCAGTGCAGGCTTGGGATACAGAAAATGTGTCCAAGTTATGTGCTCTCGCTTTTGTAGATTTTAGTATGCGTCACAAGTGCTTTCACAGTTTTTTTTTCATCATCCCAATATTATTCAGAAGATGCAAAAAGAACATATGTAGTGCAGCACCATTAAGTTCCAGGGAAAAGAGCCTGTAATTTTAGAAACAATTCTGTGATGTAAAGAATACAACACAGCATTTTTATCTCTGGAAAAAGAACACAGCTCTGGGTTTTGGGACTTCAGTGCATTGTCATCATTGGAAGATTACGTTACAAAGATCTCAAGGAAGAGAAAAATCACACAGGCATTATCATTATGCAGAGGCGAGGCAGGAGAGTCACTGAGCAGCATCACCATGGCATTTACTCTGTGCTAGTAGGACACTAAAAATATTGCCTCTGTAAAAGGGGACAGAACGTCCTTTAAGTGAGTGTGCTCGTGGGCGATTTGATGTAGCTTCCCTGACAAGTGAAATTAGAGGATTCGGTTGTTGGAAGAAATCAAAGGATGTTTCTTGGTTCAGAAAACAAAATTTTCTCCAAATCACTTGCCAGCTCATTAACAGGAGCTTGATGTGATTTTCTGCAAATGTGACCTTAACCTCTACATTTGTTGGTGCATCTTTCAAAAGAGATTTATTCCTGCTCACTATTATGGGCTGGCAAAAACATGTAACAAGGATATGAAAAAAATCAGTTGGCTCCAAAGTGGGGAAGAAAACTTAAGGATCCTTTCATCCCAAACTACTTCCTGTAAACTGTGTAAAGGCAAATAGCTTTGGCCAGCATTCTATAGCACGGATTATACAGGAATCCTTCTTGACTCTTAACACATGAGAGAATCACTTTTACTTCAGGCCAAGCCCATCATATGCACCTAACCTAGCAATCCCTGACAGACCAGAGCTATGTTAATGCTCTCCAATGAGATACAATAACTGGGGCTGGCTCAGCAAACAGACAGTGCTTGGGAACCAAACAAAGCTGCGTAGTGGGTCCTATTTCCTAGTGGGGCAGCTCTGCCCTACAGCAGATGGCCCCTCAATGTTGGGAGGATATGAATCATAGAATATCAGGTTGGAAGGGACCTCAAGGATCATCTGGTCCGACTCTTGGCAAAGCATGACCTAGACTAGATGTCCCAGCACCCTGTCCAGTGAACCTCAAAAGTGTCCAACACTGGGGAGTCCACTACTTCCCTGAGGAAATTATTCCAATGGCTGATTGTTCTCATGGTGAAAAATTTTCCTCTAGTGTCCAACTAGAATCTCCCTGGGGAGTAAATTGTAGCCATTGGCCCTCATCTTTTCCGTGTGACTCCCTGTAAAAAGGAAGTCTCCATCTTCTTTATAGCCACCCTTTAAATACTGAAACATAAGGTCTCCCTTAAGCTTTCTTTTTGCAGGGCTGAGAAACCTGTTTCTCTCAGTCTCTCTTCATACGGCAGGTTTCCCGGTCCTTTGATGATCTTTGTGGCCCTTCTCTGAGTAATACGTGCTTCAATTTCAAGTTAGTTGTGGATCTTCAACCTCATCTTGAGTTAATTCTCCTTCAAATCAAACCAGGTACCACGCTAGCAAAGGCTGGTGCTGACTTCTTAGCAAACACTTACTGATTCATCCATTTATTCCAAAACAATCTCCTGGGGACATGAGAAGTGCTGATACCAACTGGAGTACCACCTGCACAGGTGGAGGACAACAGCATGCTAGACTGTCAGACTCCACTTCCTGCCCTAACACATTCCCTGGGAATTCTTGAGGTAGCCCGAGCCCAGACAACATCAGCCATAATGTCACTGCCCTCTTCTCAGTGTGACTCAGCTTGCAATAGTCCCTACCCAGTTACCACAGAGGTGAGACTTGTGGCCAGGGATTTCAGCTGCTCCTCAAAGCCACACTGGGGTGGTTTAAAAATGGGACCACAAATAACCTCTGGGGCTCAAGAAAAATAGCCAGTGAGACTTTCTACGTGGACTTGGTATTCCCTAGAAGCTCAGGGAGGCAAGCCCAAAGGAAAATTGAAACTAGCTAAGCCAGGCAATGCCACAGGCTACTGGAAGGATGAGAATATTATATATTCTCTTATACAGCATATGTAATAACCAAACCTGGCAGGTGAGAACAACAACCAATGGCTGTGCTAAGGGGAAAAAATACAAACAAGACCTGCTTTAAGTTCACTGTGTACAAATGAAATAAATATAAGACTTTGGAAATGAAAGCTTACTACTACTACAAAGAGCAAAGTACTACTGAAAGGCTTCTGTGATGGCAGGAAATGCAGAGGCCCAAACAGGAGATGTTCCGAGAGGACTTTCCCTGCAGAGTTTTGGGGTGAGACCTGACAGCACCATGTTACCTGATGCAGGTAATATCTCAGGGATCACAATTTAACAAACTTAAAATTTAAGGGCTTTAGGACACTCAAGAGGAAGTGGCGAGTCTGAATTTAAGAGTAAAATCTTTAAGAGAAAGAAAGGAAATAAAAGAGGGGTGCTTTTCATAATTTTATGACTCAGACTGTTAATTTAAACACCACCAAGGACCGATTTATAATGCAAGAGGCCAATCCAACCTAATAGAAGGCTGTATTTTTCCATCTTCCTACCTGAAAAATTAAAACGCATATGAAAATTATTGTACTAGTGGGTTTCTGCCTCAGCTTCCACAGCCTTGGAAGAAATAGACAATATTTATGAGTGGAGTAGGTGGGTGCAGAATTATATTCAAAGCACTACAGTATTCAGCTGCGAGATGACTGTGACTCAAAAGTTTCAGGGCATTTAAGAACTGTAGAATATTGAAGATACTTTTGTTACCTCACAACTTTTTCATTTTCTTCCTTTTAAAAATTTAGCCTGAAGGGGTTAACAGCAACTTTGCAAAAACTGCCAAGGTCAGATATTGGGAAGGGCAGTTCTGACTACAGAAAAGCATTAATCAGCAGATGCTGCAAAAGAAAAACAGTGCAGGTCTGGAGATGAAAGCAAGTTCTGCAGTGCAGCAGTGCCTGAGAGATATTACAAGCAGCATTTCTGCTGGAAGTGTGACTGGTGAAATCAGCACAGAAGGATGCAGCTGAGATGCAAGCCTGAATGTCGGCAGAGCACATCACCAGAGAATAAGAACCTTCTAGTCACAAACCATTTTATTCTTTTAGCTATTCAGAGGCTGGCAGTGCTTTAAATGGGAGGCCAAGCTCCTCTAAGTGGTGTATTTACAGCATACGGCAAGGCATAGCCTCAGTGATAAATGTACTCTGTGTAAAGAGGATCATTAACACCCAGCCTACTAGGAGCTGCAGCTATTCAGGACCTTGAGTTAAGTAGGAGAGAAAACACTGATTTGATAAGATTTTGTTAAGAACTCTCTTGTATACAGTCTCAGCTGAACACTCTATAATGAATATTGTGGTTTTGAAGAGGAGGCTAGCTGATGCTATAGATTGAATTTGCTTAGCTCTGATTTCATTCAAAATACCCAAAGACTTTAGTGAATAAATTACCGCTATCTGCAGTACAGCTGCAATATCTACATGGCACACCACAATAAAACCCACAGTGTGAATGGTTCAAATGTGACCTGTCCAGATGTGAGAGAGAGGGAGGGGGTGGAACAACTCATTTTCTCCAGTGAGGCTTTATCACTGTGCTAACCCTTGGAACAACAGCAGTATGTGCACAGACTGTTCTTACTGCAAAGAGCTTTAACTATTTGGAAACAAAACAAAGGAGCCCTATAAAGCTATCTGCTTGCAGTAGGGAAAAAATTACAGATAGCCTTCTGTCGTATTTTAGATTTTGCAGCAAAGAAAATCCACAGCAAAAATACCCACATGATTTGGAAAAAAACAGAAATGTGTGTAAGTCTGTACCTACTACGACAGCAATCAATTATATTTTATATGAAAAAGCTTTTGTTTATATGCAAAATGGGGAAAAAAAAATGCCCCTGGCTTTTGTTCACACGCTATGAAACCCAAGGCATGGGCCTTAGATAAGTACCACATCTCAAGACTCTGGTGGCTGTTTGCAGCAAAAACTACAGCAAGAATCACCAACTTTGCCTTTTGACTAACACATAAAGTGCGTGACGCCACTTCACAAACACAGAAATGTGGGATTTTGAAGTCTTATCGGTATTGCCTAAACAGATGTAACCTTGTGGCACAGAAAAGTGCAGCCAGATGGCATGGCCAGTTTGTGACTATAATAGCTTTTTTAGGATTTCAAATGAGACAAGGATTCAACACTTGGAACTGTTCAAGCAGCTCTGCTTAGTATGCTAACCATGCACCACTTAAATAATTCAAATTGGACTGCGCAATGCAGCGCCTTCTAAGCTGGGAAGTCAGCTGAGTGTTGTGCTCACTAGATTAGATAATTTGAGCATGGGAAGGGCATCGTACAGTGCAGTGAAAATTACCTTTTTTCCCAGGACACACAGGAAAGCAGCTACAGATTGAGCTGTAACCCTTGCAGGTACAGCGTGCGAGTCAGTCTCTCTTTATTCAATACTTTTTTAAAGGAAATGTATGTTACACTGGTATCAGAAAGCTTTCTAGAACATTTTCAGTAGTAGCTGAGGTAGCCCAACAGCAAGGTCAGTCCTGGCTCAGCAAGGTAATGTACATTCAGTGACTGTTAAGAACAAGCTTAAACCCTGTGATTTCAAGACCTAGCAATTCACCTAAAGTCAGGCCTGTGATTACATATTTTAACAAAGAACTGGGCCTTGGCACACAATCAAGTTTTACTAAACTCATGTCCCAGCATGCTCTCCTGATTAGAAAAGTCACTTTTGTAGATGGAAGTCATCTGGCACGTTACTTCAGATGCACACTAGTAAAGTTACACTAGTATAACATTAATTAAGGGAAAAATTATTCCAAGATAAAAGAATGATTTATTCACTGAAGCTTATTTTTCAATAGGGAAAAGAACTAATGAAATCCATCCAATACCTTGACAGTTCTCACTTGCTGTCACAATCCTGGAATAACTGGCATAAGCCAGACACCCTTTCTGTTCAATTCCCACTGCAACCAATGGCAAACTTCTCATTAGCTCCAATAGCAAAGATTAAAGGCAGAAACTGGCAAGCATATTTAAGTATAACCACATTTTCTTTAACAATACTGATGGTGTGCTCTGTTGAATAGGTTTAGATCTACAATGATTGATGTGAAGTGTGTCTGAACACCTTTTATACAAACACCTTTCCATTGAATTGCCAAAGAAATATGCTTTCAGCATTTATTGTTACTGCTGCTTCCCACACTCCTCAGATCTAGCAAAATGCACTTGACAGAGGTTCAAAGGGTTTTTCATAAATTGCCCGTGCTAATTGTAGGAGCTAGCACAGGCCTGTAGGAAAAAAAGTTTCAGATCTTCCACTGTACATTGAAGACCTCTTTTGAAGGTTTTTCAGCCTTGGAAATGCCTAGAGACTTTGACATTTGAGAACAGTGATTACATAATGGAAGGGCGCAGGTCTAGTGTATGGCTCAAAGGCAGAGATGTGTGCATGCACAGTACTTCCTCAGCAGAAAGAGGTAAGTGCAGTTACCTTCAGCTTTTAACGCTGACGTTGCATGTCCTATGGCTTCCCACGGAGACGGAATATCTAGGAACACTGCATCTGCAATGTTTGAGACACCAAACCCATTTTTGCAGACATCTTGGTTGGTGACGGTGACAAGATGTTCCACCCCATGCTCTCGAAACTCCTCTCTGGCCTTCTCGGCCCTCTGTTGGTGGAACTCCACTGTGTACAGGTGCCCCGTGGGGGCCACTGTCCTGATGAGAGCATGTGAGAGGGATCCGCTGCCCGTACCTGGAAAAGATAAACAACTCATGAAATGCCTTTTGTCAGTGCTAAACATTAGAACAGAGCTCTTCGCCATTAGTATTCCTTGGAACACCTACTCAAAATCCAGATGAACAGAAACCATTGGTTAAACTACTGAAAGAGAACAGTCTTCACAAGGAAAGAGGAACTAAATGACCTGAGAAAGAGTCTAAAGGGTCCTCAAAACATTAATTAAAAATCTGGCAAACTCTGTCTTATCTCTCTAGGGTAGGAAACTAATGCCAAGGGTCAGCTCTAACAAATGCCACAAGAGAACACAAAGTACATGTGGCAGCAGAAAGTCAGGGAAATTTACCAGAGAGTTTTTTTCAAAGGGTCAGGCTCTTCTAGGGTGAAAAAAAGATGAAGGTAAATTTTAAAGTCTTTCAAAACCTTATGCCTCATTACAACAAAGAAGAGATGTTGGCAAGAGTCAGTGCTTGAAAATCCTACTGATATCTACGCGAACAAATGGCCTTCAGGACATGGAGTCTGTTTTGCCCTTGAGAGACACTGGCCATCCTTGACTCCCACTGAAATTATCCAAAACTAAGGTCTCCTTGCAGCCACACAGACCGAATGACCTGCTTTCACAGGTGACTTACATACATGCACACCTACACAGTCTTAACTTAGTCTAATGAGAGCCATCACATACCTGAAATTGTACGCAAGTACCATTACCATGTACACCAGAGACTATTAAGACAGATTCTCTTCCTTGTTTTAGTTTGATAATTTAGGACACTTACTTTGAACAATCCATTGGCATGTTAAATAGATGAATGACTAATAACGAACATTTTCACTGCAGAAAACACCCATATACCAATTCACATTGCAAATTACTCACTCAAGTGGCATTTAACAGAATAACCCCCAAACCTCACAGCAGCCCCAAATTATCTGTGTTTATTGATTTATATTTCTGTACTTGGAACGTATTTCTCCTGTAGAAAAAAAATCTATTTCCAGCTATCTTCAATGACTGTTCAGGCTAATTTCAGCCTGAAGCAAGTTCTAACATAGATCTTAAAAAGCTTACAAAGGACAGACCCTGAAGTAAAGCAGTGGCAGAGAAAGTTCAGAAACTAGTAGGAAGGAAATTAATTAGGGGACACAGGGGCTGGTAGAGCTGCTTAATTGGAGCAATACTTCCCGTAACCATCCAGGAAGTCAGAGTTTACCGATGGATCCAAGGTTCTCGCCACCTAGTCACACAAGGGGAGAAACATTGGTGTGGCACTGTCTTTAACCTGTCAGCTCTGAAAGAAGAGCTACTCAGACTGTAAACAGAGCTCAGGGCCCATGTTTGCCCCCGGATCAACCGCCTGCACTGTGGAATCAGCACGGATCCTCTGTTTCCCTCTGAGAGGGCTCCAACCCCAACAGGCAGGCTACCACCCTCCCCTTGCTTTAATGGGGCGGATTAGGTGAGGAGGAAGGACCTACAGGAAGAGAGAAACTGTGACACTCATTTATCTAAAGTGAAAATCCATGAATTTATGACAGTATTAAAGCAAAGCAAAGCCAAAGACATTTACATGTGCACACATGAAAAACTATCTGGTCATAGCATCCGTAGGCTCTGAACGTCAACGTAAGCTTTTCCCTGGTCAGAAGAAGTCAGGGTATCATGATAGCCATGTGGTTGTAAAGCCTCAATGATACATGCACATAACAAAGAACTAGCATTTGTTTGATTTTGTGGTCGTGGGGTTTTTTTCCTTCTTAATGACAAGAGCAGGGAACTATTTTTCACAGGATGCTAAAATGACTAAACTTCTGCCCTTACATTTCATGCCAGAAGGCAGGATTGCACAACTGAGAACTTCTGCAAACTGACAGAATTTAATTATTTTACCTCTCAAGTGAGTTATACTGCACACTTTCTGTATCTTTCTCTGCTAATCTAAAAGAGTGAACAGAAGGCCTGTCAGCACAGCTGGGCTGTAAGCAGAAGAGAAAGGCAGCTTGTGCATGTATCCAGTTTCCTTGTTCATATTCTTCTACATTTTTAATCACTTTCCTTTTAAATCTGCTCTTAAAAACACCACAGAAGATACTGTTTGTCTCCTTCCTAGGAAAACTCATTAAGATCTTCTGGCTTCTTTTCTCTCCATGCCAAACCCTGACCTAAAACCAGGGTGCTGGAAGTCATCACTTGCACACGTATTACAGAGCTTTTGTTAAGCAAGGTTGCCAGGAACTGTTTATTGTTGACTGGCTACCACAAACATGAGAATATGTATCACATTTTAGCATATCAAATTCTACCACAGTAACATCATTAATGAGAGTATTTCTGAAGATGCTGCCTGCCTTCTCTGTGACAGTTCTCAAAACTGTAGGAAACAAAAGAACAAGATGGTTATGAATCACCCACCATTGTAAAATCTCTTCTTGAAGAGACGACTGGTTCTGAACCCAGTCCTGTGCAATTATGAGGACCCTCAACTCTGATGTGTCTGATAGTTTGGTATGCTTGATGCAACTCATTAAGAATATGAGAGTTTGGCAGTTCAACATGAGCGCATACTTAACACAATCCCTAAAGCCCAATCAGCACTGTCTACAAAAGGCAGGGCTTCAACCCTGTTTCTCTGATGTTGTAGAAGGGGAAATTTATGTTTATATTCACCTTCTCCCCTGCAAATCTGCAACATTCAACATTCGAGTTCTCCCACCACCTTCTCAATTCCCTTTCAATTTCTCTTTGTATTTATTTCAAAAACACTACTGAAAAAAAGTAGTATTCAGCAAAATACTCAGTTCTAGTCAGGTTCAGGTTTCATTGGGAAATGAAGGGTATCCTTAGCATGACACAGAATCAGCCAAGAAAGCAGCAAAATGCAAGGAGTACTACTGAAGACATGAACTGGAATGCTACCAAATCTGAAATATCATAGCTGAATTACCTGTATACAAATGAACCAAAACCCCAAATGCTCGAAAATTGATTTTTTCCAGCAGAAGAGGCAAGTTAAGAATTGGATGGACTTCAACAGATTTTCATTCTCATATAGGTGCAGTGAAATGCCTATGTTCCCAATTTGACCTAGAAAGTGGAAAGCAAGAAACTTCTAGAAAGAAATAGAGTTTGTAATTTTTATACCAGAATGCTTGCTTCTCTGACAGTCTGCACTACAAATAGTCTTAAAAACTGTTTGTTCTCTACCACAGGACAATGCTCATTTAACTACAGTGTATTAATCATGAATGGACTCTATAAGAGAGAGGTAAAATGATGATAACTCAAACTGCACAGAAGACATTCCTAACACCACAGCTGCTGTTTTAGAGCCCACTCAGGTGAGCACTTAGGACACTGCTAATATCCTGGGGAAACATGATGCCCTTTGACTATTCTGTGATCTTAAACATCTTAGTCAAAAAGCAGACTTCTGCATTGCAGGCATTTAATAACACACCACAGGGTTCCCAATATGCCATACTCAAAGCTCAAAACCTGAGGAGGAGGCACTGTGTAGGGGATCAGCATGTAGACTAGGAAAGTGGTCCATCTCAGTCCAAAGGCAGGAATTAAGATCCTGTGTGTTAAAACCACATAAGTCAGGTGACTAATGGCTTGCAGACTGATGTAGTATCCTTCCCTTCTTCCAGGGCTCAAGCATATTCCATTCTTTCTCTCTGATACGTTTAAGCTCCAGAAAGTGTTTCTGCCCTATCCCAAGACAAGGAAACCACTGCACTTTTAGAAGGATTTCTATCTTAACAACTGGACAACTAGATGGAACATTCTAGCTCAGCAGCGACTGATACTTCCGATTTGTAGACAAGAAAGTATTGATCAGACACACTCCTCAATCATTCCCCGACCTCAAACAGATCTGTTCTTCTCACTCTCTGCTTATGCAAGTGACAGGTTTCCACAGAGAAGCCTCCACACGCTTCAGCTATCTTGAGTCAATGTCCACATTAAGACCATTTCTCACCTTTTCAAAGCTGCAGTGGACATCTGAGCTGTTAAAAAACAGCATGTGATATTTCAAAACAGTATAGATACACATCAGAACACTGTCCGGAGAAACATGAGTATTACCACGGCATCTAGCATAGTACTTGACTGATAACTGAGTCAGGGAGTACATTTTTACACTGATTTCTGTTTATTATTCTGTCTCATTTTCTTACTGCAAAGCATATTTGCCTAACATCCTGGAATCTGATCCAAGTTACAACCCTAAGTGACCTGATTCTGTGATCTACTACATTTCCTCATTGCAGGCTATCACTTGGCTTGTCTTCCCTAAAAATTTCTCATAATGGGTGCTTCTTTCTAAAAAAGGAATTACAAATTGTGATTTGGGACCTATAGATTTTACACCTGTGCATAAGCAAAAGGATTTTGGAATAAAGCAAAAGAAGCTCTTTTGCTTTAAGGAAAAAATAAGAACATTGGTTCTTATTGCTTGGAAATGGGAAAAGTGAAATTTAATACTGGGTCTCTACAATAACTAGTAACATTTTTAACAGAACTAAGTTTCTGCGGCAAAATTTGGCTACTGAAGATATTATAAAATGAGTAAACACAAAACAACAATGACAGTGTGGCTATATTTGTCTCCTAGCTACACCACTGAGACCTAGCAAATCGTAAAGACAGGTCATGAGTCAGCCATGAGAATGCAAGGAGCCTCAAAACCAAAAGAAAATTGATCTTTAGACAGAGCTAACAACTCCACAGCTAGTATCTGTCAAGAAACACTGAACAGAGGAAGACTGCTCACTGTACATGACAAGTTTGTGTAACTGGAGAATCATTAATGATTTTTAGCAAATATATGAAGAGATATTAAGCACCTAATGGAAACTACCCAAATATCTTACTGTGAAGGTAGTCAAGGGCACAAATCATAGTGGCAGAGATGAGACGTGGCAAAAGCAGGGACAGAGAGCAGGAGGGGGAAACGGAGGGGAAGAGG